CGCTTTGATTAAGCGTTTCCTTTTGTGCCGTGATTTTCGACACCAAGTAAAAATTGTGTTTTTTTTTACCCCAGAATTTCGTCTGCTTTGTGTCACTATGCCATTGATCTGCTTCAGTGGTACTGTTACATTAGAACTGAGAAAAGATAATTAATTGCCTTTCCTAGAGGTCAAATGTTATGGTCGCAGTTACAATTATGCCTGGTAGGTGTTTGTTCGATGCAATTTTGGGTTGCGCATAGAAATTTTGAACCGGATTTATGTTGAAAGTTTAGTAACAAACCATGTTCTACTTTGGCTTCAAGTGCATTACATTTTGGTTGTAGTGTAGTGTAGTGAACATTTTCACTCTACATTTTGTGCATTTAGCATGGCTACTGTTGTTTATACAAGGCTGTTTTTTATATTAACCGAGAGCTATTCGTTTGGCATTGTGAATTAGCAGGAGAAATGTCGATGATTGCAAGCTCTTCGCAGAGTGATCCAGATTCAAGAAGTTTGCAAGTGCTTCTCGAAGCTTTTGGTTCTCGTTTTTCTCTTGATGATATAGCTGCTGCTTACTGCCAAGCTAGCCAGAATGTCGATGTGGCTGGTGAGATTCTCTTTGCAATGACAGAGAAGACGCCTCAAAGTGACCAAGTCGAACTGGAGGGAGCAACCTCAAAACCAACTCATGTCGATGTTCCAATGGAGGTTCGACGACAAGAGGATAGCAAACCCAAAGTTTGGAGGCCGAAAAGGAATTCGATATCAGTTGGTACTGTTTCAAGTGTTATCGGTAAGGAGTATGCTAGATACAGGCCTATATCAAATGCTCCCCGAGAATCAACTAAACCGATGAAGATAGACTCAAAGGATATTCCAGAAACTGAGATATGGAGTGAAGAAATGCCAAGACGTAACGAGCCAAACATAAGCAGGGCACCAACTGATGTTGAGAAATTTATTGTTAAGATGCTCGGAGAAGGCTTTCAAGCTAGCCAAGATGTCATTCACCAGGTTCTTGGTAAGCATTCTCTAGTGTTTTTTCTTGATTATGGTTTACATCTTTTTTTCTTCTTCAATCATATTGGTGACCTTGATCTGCTTTTTCACCAAATTATCAGGCGTATGCGGATATGATGTGAAGAAGGTATGTCATTTTCTTTAGCTCTGAAAATAATGTATTTTGTTTCTTTAACAGTGTTTTGCTTTCGCATATGCCTTCACTATCTTCTTTTGTTTTAATAAGATAATGTGTTTTACCTTTTCTTGAATGAATTATATTGTATTCTCCAATACCTTGAAGGTCCTAATCAAGATGACCACCAGCTTGATCATGACTTGTGGCCTTTATAGTTGCATAACTTTCTTTTTATTTATTTGAGTTACTTTGACCATTTATTGACCATTATACCCTTGAGCTACTCCTTTTCTTCTGTCTTGGTACTGTTGCTGACTAAAGCTTGAGATAAAGTTTGACTTTTCACACCGACTGTCTCGTCTAATTTTGATCACTTGATTGTTAGTGGTATCTCTATAGCTCTTGGCATATGGCTTTTGTGAGTATTTTTTATAGATCCAGGCTTTGGATCTCTGTGTTGTAACTTCTTCTTATGGCATCCACACTGTATTCTTAATTATATTGCAGAGTACGGAGAAACTGCTTGACTTGTCTGATACCAAGAAGTATGCTGATGTTGGAATTTCCAGTGAAGTTGTGAGCTTTTGTTATGACTTTCAGTTTGGTTTTTGTTGTAGAATTTAATATTCTTCTAAATTTGACTCTGGTCTGGTTGGTTGTTCTTCTCTTCTTAAAGATGTCAGAAGGTGATCCTCAAGGGCAGGGATTTACGTCCAGCAAAGTGCAAGAATTTGCTCAGAGGTACGCTTTTTCTAGACAATCTTTGTTCCAAACCCTTCCCTTGGAAATATTTCTGATCTTTTTCTTTTCAAATTGCTTTCGGTGATGATGCAGTGACGGATCAAGAACCCTAACTGGTTCACAGGAAGGAAGCAAGGACAAGACTGGTCTTGAAAAGGAAGTAATAGAAGCTTTGTTCTCAGGTGTGGAAAGATATGTGGAAAAGCCAAAAGTAACTACTCGTCGAATTGGAGTAAGGAGAGCAAGAGCTGCTGGTCGTCCAGTTTTCAAACCTCTGGAAGATCCTTTTCAAGAGAGAGTCGTTGCTGTGAAACAATCGTCACATACATCTAAAGAAGGTAACCGTGTCATTGTCTTACATATACGTTTTTTTTTAGTTTTATCACGTTTCTAAAGACTTTGCTCTATCTATGTTTCTCCTTATTATAGATGAAGATGATGACAAAGAATTTAAGGCACATCGTAAAGCAGCACTCGAGTATTGGCATGAGCTGAAAGAATATTACGGAGCTGTAAGTCTTTGAGATAGGATTCATTTGCCCGATACATCATTATGTGTTATTCAATGTGTATGATTGCCATGATCTGATGGTTGCATAACTAAAACCTCTTCCTCTTTGGCAGGCTGTAGAAGCATTCGCCAAAGGTGAATCCGAGCGAGCACACAGACTCGTGGAGAAGGTACAATCTGGAAAGGAATTTTTGGTTGAAAGTGATCAATGTCTTTCTTGTGTTCTATATGATAACTATTTGATATATGCCAAAATACATAGGGACACTTTTTCGGACAAAAAGCTCGAGAAGCAGACGACAAATCTTTGGCAAAGATGCTTGAAGTCAAGTCGGTTAATTTCTCAATCCATTTATTTCCAGTCTTCTACTGTCATTTATTTCCAGTCTTCCATTGGCAAGAAGAGTTACGAAAATTCATAACAATGCTTATAGGAAAGATGATGATTCGACTTACGAGGAAGACGAGGTAGTGACAGTGAATGTAAATGAACACGAACCAAAGGAAGCTGTTCGACTTCTCAAGCTCCAACTTAAGAACTTCTCTGGCATTCCATGTAAGGTTTTAAATCCCTCTCTCAAAAACTCTTTTTGTTCTAAAAGAAACAAATCTAATCTGTTTGTATTCTATTTATGATTCAGCGATCAAGTTTCTCAGAGTCAAACTGGGTGACAACAAGGATGATTCCAAGTGCAAACGACGGGTACCATCTTTTACTCATCCATCTTCATCTCTGAATAGAACTTAAATTGCTTCTGTTTGTTTTTGTTTTCTTAGTGTATTGGAATTGCAAAGCTACTGGAGGGAGAATCTATTGCTTGGTCTGAAGAAGACAATGGCCTCGTGATGATGATTCGTGTTGATGAGATTGACCTGAAGAAACTGAGTTTTGCCAGGAAATAAGAACACCATCGGTTCAAATCCTTTTGCATCACTCTTATCAAAAATTGAACTGTAGTGTGTAATGTTTGAAACACCCGATGCGTTATGTAACCAAACAAAGAGGCATTTTGGCAGAAATATAACTTTTGGTTTCAGAATCGAAGAATCATCAAGCCATCTGACATTACAATATGCTTAGAATGTTTTGATAGATGAGAGATTCCATTTTTAAAACCATATGAACCGGCCAGCCAAAGAAGAAACAAAACTTATACAATATGGTTCTATCAGTGGGTAATAAGTCTTTGAACCTCTACCTCCTCATTGCTATCTAAAGTTTCAAGCAGATCAGGTGGAGCGTGCTGAGCATTCCCTTGATTCTCCTCCGAGTCTTGACAGAAGGAGAGAATGATTGTGTCTATCGACATCTCAACCACCGCAAAGAAAAGTGTGGCCACAATATACCCCAAAGCCCAACAAGCCTGTGCATAGAGAGAGAGACACACACAATCAAACATCTGTCTTTGTATATACAATGAGTCTAGAGGGAAAAGAAAATGTCTTTACCAAAACGGGTAATAGTGGGGATGAGACTTTGTTGTGAGAAGACCGATACTTGTGCGAATCCAACATCAGAAAGCCAAAGAGAGCACTGAAGAGACTCACACAAAGCTTCCCTAGAAACAATATAACATCCCCTATTACATTAACCTTCCCTATCCTCCTAATGTTGTTTATGATCAGCTCTGTCGCGATTGCAGACGATTTGCAGAAGCTTTTCCCTGTTATAGCAATCTAAAAAGACACCGAAAGACGCAATCTATCAAGAAATAGTTCAAGAAATGGGTTTTCTGCCCAACTGAGGAGATTTTTCTGTTACCATAATGTAGGCATTGCGGTTAACTGACTTGATGGTCCACTCAACGCTTTTGAGACAACCATGTGAAGTGTAATGCCCTATTCTCGAAAACCAGTGATCGGGTGTGGTCCCTCGTACTTTTGTTCTACGACGAATTGCTTCGAGAATGAACCGAACAGACTCCACAAAAGAGACAATGAGTGAACCAAGAGCCACGGATCCTAGGTTGTAGCGTGCAAGCCGCTTCATTGAGGCGAAAACCGGAAGAAACGGTATCTCTGGCTGCATTGTTCACCAAAAAAACTCCAATCAATACTTTAAAATAATCGACAGTTTTATATATTTACTCAGACATGTTAGCTTACCGATGCTTCTCCTTGAGCCCAATAATAGGAAGCAACAGAGCCTGCAATCACTGTCGCAGAAGATGCAATGAAGAACTGTGTGGCCCAATAGCAACCAAATAGGTGGAAGAATATGGCAATGGTGATGTGAGGAGTGTAACGTATGCTGTAACCGCAACAATGGTCACAGTTCACTTTCTTTAACACGAGATCATACGCGCAGCAATTAGTGTTGTTGCAGTTGTTCTGAACAACCTGACCAGAACTGAATAGATGGAGAGCCGCCAATAACCAGAACATATAGAATATTGCGAGCATCGCAAATGGTATAGCCGGGAATATAATCAGCTCTTGCACTTCTCCTATTACTTTAGCAGCTACCTGGATTCCACAAGTATACACACCAAAATGACATCTCTAGCAAAAGCCAAGCTAAGTAACCAAACTACTAAGAAACTAATACTCACCTTGAGGACTGATGTTGCCATAAGAATTCGGCGGATGATGGCTATTGAAGTGAGGATAGCAACAGCTGAGATAAAAGTCATCAGAATGGCGACTCCACGGACATGTGTCAGCTCCTGTGAATAAGAAAATGCAAATAAGCGTGGACAATTGGGACTAATGGTCTCATTTCTTAATGAACTTGAAAGCAACGTATAGCGGAAAATGTTGAACTTACTCGACCATATACATGAAAGTATGGGTCATGCTCACCGATAATAGGTGTTACAGCATCATTACCAATCCATCCAGCTACAG